ACACTCACACTAGCACTTTCCTAAATGTATTTTGCCGTAATCACGGCCAACCTGGATGAATCTGATCGCCATCACGTCCTCAGCTGATTAGAAAAGAAGCTCCTCGTGTGAGACAAAGTATCCCCTGATGCATGAACACTGTTTCCCCCAACAATTGCCGGCTTCGCCTGAGGACTCCTCACCCTGATCATGAATGTCATAGTCATACGGTCTCCATGGAGAGGGTGCTTTGTGTTCGGGGGAAGGGGCATACGAATTTGTGCAGGGGCACGGACTGGAAACTCAATTGAGTACTTCGGGACATCCGTTAAAATGGGAACGATACAGAGAAGGGTAATTAGCAAAATGGCCGCTGCGCAAGGATGGGCCTCGCTGCACTACTCTCCAAAGGTGCAAAACGAGAATGAATATTCTGCTAGAACATGGAAAGACGCACCACCAATTATTTTTTTATTTTTATTTTTTTTCTTTTGTGCATGTGGAGAGTAGTGCAGCGAGGCCCGATGACCGGTCACACGGGGTTGGCCCTGTACCCAAATGCCTCAAATCGTGACCAAATGTCAGCGGCCGCGGGGGTACCCTTTTTGAGACCACCTCCAGAGGTGGTCTCAAATGACCAAACGCTTTTTTCGTTCCTTTCCTCAATTTGTAGAAAATCGTAGAAGAATAAGACAACCAGCCAAAGTTGTTTTTCTTTTCTTTTCTTTTTTTTTTCTTTTTCTTTTCTTTGGTGTCCCCTCGTGTGACCACACGACCTTGCCCTGAGTGCAAAGTGTCAGGGTTGCGACTTCGTCCTTTCTGGACGAAGTCCGCACGTGTGGCCACACAGGGACCAAATGACCCAAATAACCGTACCCAGATGCCTCAAATTTTTGGTTCTTTTGGTCCCCGTGTGAGTATGCCCTCAGGCTGCTATTCCGTCCAAAAAAAGTAAAAACGTGCTAATGTGAGTATGCCCTCAATTGCCGTCCTCTTCCCCCCGACAACTGCCGGCTTCCACAGAGGAAACTCACGTCGAAGGAGGTCTGCTCTCGTGGGCAAAGGATACGGCACCCTTTTTTTTTTTTTTTTTTTTTTAATTTCCCTTCCAAACTACGCTATATCCAGCCGCCTAGCTCAGTTGGTTAGACATGCAAGTGGCATTCAGGAGGTTGTGGGTTCAAGCCCCATGGCCGCCTGCGGAGGCACAGCTACTGGCAGGTCTCGGTCTTTGTGTTAGCCAGACCCCCACTGGCGGCCCCAACCCTATACCCCATTAGGGGCAAGGGGCAACATGAAATCTCCCCTTCACAGAGAGAGGAAAACTATGCTTGCAGGGGTCCCCTCTAGATAGTCTTAGGAGTAGGTAGTGGAAGGTAAAACAAACAGAAGTTGAGAGAAGAATATAGACAGTTGTGATCACCCCATATATATATCGTCACAAATAGATATAGTCAGAATCTCCGGAACCACCCAATTAGTCCCATCCATTATACCAAAGAGTCGTCAAGAAACCTTAGCTCTTCGGTGGATTCTTGAAGGCGCCTTGTGGAGACGACGTTTGACAAAAAAAAACATAAGTTTAGATCAATCTTTATCTTTTCTCTCAAATCTTTCATCATCTGTCAAATTCTTTTAATTCACCTTCTTCACTACCTACCTACCACTACTTTCTTTCTATTTTTTGGGGCTGGGTATGCCCATAATTTGTGTATTCGGGTAGTTGATTATAACTGCAATTGTACCAACCTGGGTCCACCTCAGTCCTGGGCATGCAAATAATTTCCATCGGCCGTTTTCTGGGTATAGATGCAAGTTGGGTGCTGGGACTGGGTATAGCGGGTATTCCCATCTTTTAAGTTGGGTACAGATGCAATTTTCCCTTTTAAAAAAAAAAATTGGATGATTTCTCGATTTATGTGTGTCATCCTTGCGCAGGGGCCATTTGCTAATTACCCTTCTCTGTATAGTTCCAAATTTAATGGATGTCTCGGAGAACGATAAAGCAACCTCCCTGACCTGGAAACTCAAAAATAATGCCAAAAAATGCCAAAAAAAAAACACACAAAATATCACCCTCACTCGTTCCATTCTCCCTCAGGGCCTACTGCACTACTCTCCATAGGCCAAGTTTGGGGAGTAGGCGCCTGGTTGCACTTACTCGTGCCAAGTCTCCTTTTTGAAGCTTTTTCAATCCACTGCAGAGTGCGGCGAGTTGCCGACTCTCTACTGCTATTTCGTGGAGGGTCATCCTCGCGACCCTCCACAAATCAACTTCTTGGCGAGTGAAGTGCTTTACGAGTGGAGATCAGGCAGACATTTTTTCTTAACTTTTCTTTTAAGAAGAAATATAGTGGCGAGTAAATGCAACCCGGCCTCCAGTTGGACACGAATTGTGGCGGATGGCGAGTAGTGCAACTAGGCCTTCAGAATGATAATTACGAAGACGATCGTACCAAGAAGCCAACTGTTTTTCCTTTTCCTTTTTTTGCCGAGGAGGTTCAGCGAGTCAGCAGGAGCCTGCAGACAGCAGTAACAAATAGCATGTAACAAATTGCAGTAACAATCTGCAGTAACAAATTGCAGTAACAAATTGCAGTAACAGTAACAAATTGCAGTGACAAATTGACCGACCCCGAGCCTATGTGGCTGAGGGCATACTCACACGAGGACCAAAAGTCTCAAAATTTTTGAGGCATTTGGGTGGCCTATTTGGGACTTCAGGTCCTCGTGTGGTCACATGGGCTTCGTCCAGAAAGGACGAAGTCGTGTCCCTGACACTTCGACCTCAGGGCAAGTGTGTGAGGACCAAAAGAGTATGGAATTTTATTTTATTTTTTACACGCCAAAATAACATAAGAAAGTAGATGGATTTTTTTTCTTCTTCTTACAACTTACATGGGGCTCACTGCACTACTCTCCAAATGTGCGAAATGATTTTACATCCTATCTTTTTTGTCTTTTGTTTGGCAGGCTGTTTTCTTCGTCGATGATTTTTGGCAATAAGGTAAGATGGGAAGAAATAAATCGAAAGGTCATTTGAGGCCACCTATGGAGGTGGTCTGGCAATGTATCTATCTATGTTGTAGTGGTGCATTGAGTCTCATTTTGCACATTTGGAGAGTGGTGCAGCGAGGCCCAAATAAAATAAAATCCATCTACTTTCTTATGTTATATTTGCTGTGTACAAAAAAAAATAAATCCATCTACTCTTTTGGTCCTCACCAGTATGACTGTGCACATTTGCCCTGAGGGGGAAGTGTCAGGGTGCGACTTCGTCCTTTCTGGACGAGTCCGCTCATGTGACCACACGAGGACCTAAAGTCCCAAATAGGCCTGCCCAAATGCCTCAAAATTTTGAGACTTTTGATCCTCGTGTGAGCATACCCTGAGTGGTACACATGTAACTGCTAGCAGCAGACCACGGACTCGAACAGTGGCGGAATCAGACGTGCAAGCAGACCACACACTCGAACGCTGGCAGAATCAGAGGTGTACAAAGTAGCGAATTGGGTACTTACCTGCCGGGATTTCAATGTGTGGTACACTGGTTGAACATTCTCAGAGTTCTTGGCGAGCGTGCTCGAGTGTGGTTAACAGCATACTTGCACTTTGCGGGCCAGGTCCCACTTGGAGCTTCGAAGTTTCCTAATCGCCTGAATCTGGACGTGTTTGAAGAAATGTGCAGAAATCGCATTGCGTTGAGTTTCTTCAACCGCACATATCCACAACGCTGCTAGTGGGACCTGGCATAGGTTTCCCTCTTTCTTCCACTCACACTCGAATGTATCTGATCATGAGTGGCCATGGTGTCATTAAAGCTGGGGCCAACTCCCGGTTCAAGTTGGCCGGATTTTCAATTTCTGGCCGTTGATCTTCAGACTCTACGGTCAGAAATCGACAATTCCGGTAAGTGGGACTTGGGCCCAGGGAGACCTTCGGGGTGGACCTCATGCGAGTCTGATTCTGCGACAACAGTGTTGACGTCAGCGAAAAGTAGTTGTTTTTCCGTTCGTCTTTTCGCCTGGCCCCCCCGGTCTCCGTCTCCTCCCCAACCAGACCACCCGCTCCTGCCCCCTACTCAACTGCACCCTCCTCCCCCTTCCCCCCCCCCCCCCCCCCCCAAAAAAAAAAAAAGAACAGAAAAGAAAAGAAAAAAGACCTGAGACTAAGGGTCACCCCAATGCTTGGAAAGCGTGAACCTAGATGAAGCATGAACACAGGTGTTCACTATTCCTAGTTGTTAGGAGAAGGATTTTTTTTTTTTTTTTTACTACACTATATTCTTCTGTCACTCAAATTCTTTCATCTTTCACTGCTACCTACCTACCACTACTCCTAAGGCCATATGGGGGACCCTTGCAAGCATAGCTATCTACCTCTCTTGCTGAAGGGAGTCTACCTCTCTCGGTGGAGGGAGGTATTGCATGTTTCCCCTTTGCCCTAATGTTTTAGGGAGCAGGTTGGGGCCACTGGTGGGTTCCCTGCTATTCAAGGAACGAACATTTGCCAGTAGCTGTGCCTCCCTTTTCATCTTCCCCCACAACCTGCTGAATGCCACTTGCATGCCTAACCACTTGGCTAAGCCACTGGACAAAAAAGATACAGTTGAGAGCACCGACCTTTTTTCTGATTTTTACTTGCTTGTTGTCTTGGACCCTGATTCCCCATGAGACGGCTCTTGTCTGGGCTTGTGGGGGTCCCCAGAATGGCTTCTTTCCTGTGGGGAGGGGGGGGAGGAACCTTCCTGCGCTATGGACTGGCGCGTTACTATTGCCTGAGAAGTATCTCCCGGTAGGGGAGTGGAAGAACAGTCTACCAGGTGCACACGCCAGCTATTCTCCTGCCCCATCCAGTCCTTTCAGGTGATAAAGTTAAGTTAGGTAAACGCATGAAGAGCAGTGGTGTTTCGTCTTCTCTGTAGCTTGGGCTATGCCCCACACCATGCTCCTCTGACCTGGACTTTGTCCAATTTTCTTTTTTCTTTTCCTTTTATATGAAAAAGGGCCCAGTGCCCAAGGCTCCAATTATGAAATTGATTACAACACTTATACGCACGCCTCTTCCCATTAGGGCTGGAAGATGCCCCAAGTCATGTGAAAGCACTGTGATGAGCGATGGGGCAACTGTCATTGACAAAGGTATTGATCTCGAAGTAATTGATGAAGGATGCCCCAAATCGTGTGAAAGCGCTGTAACAAGCGATGGGGCAACTGTCATTGACAAAGGTGTTGAACTCGATATAGTTTGTGATAGTGTGGTAGATAATGGAGTTGTTGGAGTTGATACTGGTGACAACCTCCGCCAACATGGATATTGGCAGCTTCCCCCCTGAGCGCCTGGCCATGTCAGCTCCCTGCTTGGCCCTTTCATCGAGAAGCGTGTAACACTCGCTTAGCAGAGCATCAGTCTGGCACCAATCAACAAATTCGTCCAGCTCAGGCGCTGGCCCCACCTCCATCACCCAGATAGTCTCCAGCATCTGCTGCATCACTGTCGCCACCCATCTCGCCGCCGAGACCGGTCCCCCAACAACCTCTGGTGGAAGCAGAGAAGGTGAAGAGAGAAGATGCACCAGATCCTGGAGCCGTCGCCTGCCCTCTACCAGCGTGGATAGCCATACAGCCGCCGCCTGTCGGAGATTCCCTTCTGAAGCCATTGGGCAGTAGACTGCACCTGCAGATGAGGGTGTACTGCTTGTCGCCGCATGTATTGCCGCGCAAAGGCACTCCAGTGTCAGTGAACATGATGCTCATGCAAACATCGCCGCCATGGCCGCTGCCGCACGCTGCCCTGACACGCCACCTTACTGAGACGACCTCGGGAGAACCGAGGACCTGGAACGGATGCCCGCCGAGCATTGTCAGGCGGGAGCGCTCCGTGCGTTCACGCTGATACTCCTCACTCAGCTGCTGCTCTTCGTCAGCCGCCTCGGTTGGCAGCCCACTCAGGCTGTTGTGCTGCACCCAGCAAAAGTACTGAAGTTGCACCAGAGAAGTTGTTCTCGGTCGCCACCATCTACAATTTGTTTTCTAGCTGTGTCGAAGGAGACCCTAAGTGCAAATAACCAAGGCTCTCCTTTGCAATGTCAGGGTCAGGCCCCACCGGTGCGCCATTGGACCCTTGGTGTTTCTTCCTTTTTGAAAACGTCAGGAGCTAGGCCAGTATCCTGGTTGTAGTATGAGAACAACCAGGATGGAAGGCTGTTTCTTGATGGCTCCAGTCTTATTGTTGGGGCATAAAGATTTGCTAGACAGATCTCTTCTTCTTCCCACAAGGCCCTTAAGAGGATCCACCTACCATGAGTATCGTCTTTCTGAACCGAGAGTGGTTTCAGTCTTGACTAGGGGGGTAGCCAAGTTTCCACACCTGCTGAATGGTAGGACGTTGCGTGTGCGTTGAAAGACTGGTAGGGCCACAAATCCTTTTCCTTAGCTGTGTGCATGCGACTGTTGAAGAGGTGTGTCTCCTGCCGGCAGACTGCATGGGGCCAATAGGTGTTGTCATTCATTCGGATCATGTTCCAAATCGCGTCCTTCTTCTGATGGGTGGCGGCCGCCAGTCCATTCACGTTAATTGACCTCACGTCCAAATCCGCCTTTCTAATAGCGTTGGCCCAGAGGGGTGGTTTTCTGAGGGGGGGG